ATGTGTTGGGGAGATGACTTTATAGGATGTCTGTGGAGATACCGAAATACTAGCTGACTAGATGGCTCCCAGTTTGTAGCACGAGATAAATATATGTAATATTACACAGGACGGTACTCGCTCTGCCTTCATTCTTTAGCATATTATCAATAAAACACTGGACGTATATCACCTTCTGAGGAAATCGGGCTGAGCATCACCTGTCATACTGGCAGCGTGTAGTTATCCAGCGTGATGTGGCACCATAAAGAGGAAGGCGCCAGAGAAGGAGCTGGACGAGTTATCGGTGCCACAGTGTGACGCCAGATGGACTGCCGGACAATAAAAACGAACCAGCTACTGTAGGAATGATGGTGTGTGTGTGTGTGTCTGGCCTCAGCTCAGTGCAGAGTGCTGCTCTACATGCTGCATGCCATCCACATTCCACAGCTTGTATTCATTACCACAGATACATGGAGCCTTTCTCACTATGATGCACAGATGCACGCACGCTCAGACAAGCACATGTACACTGCTGCTTTACACTTTACAATAAAATCTTCAGTTCCAATCAAAAGCTCCTGGATACGGTGTATAGGAAGCTGGTGTCACCAAACATCCAGAAAATCCTCATAAATGTGACACATGTGGGCTGTCAGAGTGACAAGATAAAGAGAAACAGATGAGGGAATGGACGTAGATAGGCTGGAGAACGCCGCTTGTGTTTCTATCTCCCTTGATGACACAGCCACCATCGCTCCCACATCTAAAGCCTCCTGTGTCCCGATCACTCAGCGCCGGCCTGCCCTCCCACTCATCTGTTCTTCACCCTCCCTCCACCTTCTTTCAGTGGGATTACCCCCTAATGCCCAACCTAAACAGAGGCTTAGAGGCTGGCGACTGCGGACGGGTGTGTGGGGCTTAGTTGGGGCTGAATCTGATGCCTTTGGAACGGGATGAGAGATGCCCAGCACCAGGCCTGGTTCAGGGGGAACCGTGGAGCTGTTTATGAAGCCAGGGCTGGGTGGCAAGACGGAGGCCTACTAACAGATTAGTCAGAGCGAAGCCAGCAATTTAGAAAAGACGTCATGGTTCGAAGCAACATTTTAGATAACATTTGATCTCCTAAATAAAACCATTGATCAAAAACATGACCAGCCTTAATCAAAGGTGACCTACATGGATACTGTTGTAGTAATTAATTTTAAAAAACAGTCTGATCCTTGCTACTGATCTGACATCAGTGGTCTTTTTGGGCACTGTGTTAGAGTATAAAAGCTCTGCAGGAGCTGTTAAAGGAGGCTGCTTTTGTGGTTTTCCAGCCTACAAATGATTAATCGCTGTAGTAAAGGGAAGTATGGGACTGCTTCATTTTTAATGTATAAAAGTACTTGTGATAATTATACCTGACTGTGTAGCCAAGCTGTGATAGAGCAAGTGAGGAGACTGTGTTTTCTGTGCTTTCAGATCCTCCTCTATTCTGCAGCCTGTTTGAGGACAAACGAGACTCAAGAAAATTATGCTATCAGTGAGGCAAACGCCTTTTTTAATTGAGTAATTTATGATGATTTTTTTAAACTGTTAAATAAAAATTGGTGGAGTTGGGTGGAGGGAGGGTTAAGATGGGTGACACTACCTTCCCCTCATGTCTGAGCGGTTACAACTTTGATGAGATGATGAAGGAAAGCGGCGCTTCTGGTCACAAAACCAGAGAAAAACTTCACACAACAAACCCGCAAGTCTCCGTCTTACTTAAAGGGGATGTCCAGTCAGGCTGTGGGTGTACTAACCAAACTTTTAAAAAAAAATAAAAAAACATACTATATTATCTCATATAAATATTAGGTGTTTGTTTACCTTGAGTAAAAGTACCAAACTGTAAAAGTTCTGCAAGTATATTCAAGAAAATGTACCATGGTATTAACAGTAAAAGTACTAAATGTAGAATAAAGTTTCCTGTGACTATTACACTATATATCAGTAGTATATCATTAGATTATTATTATTAATCATGCATCAGTGTAAAAGCAGGATTTACTGTTATAATAACCCCACTCACATGCATTCATATGCATGTGCACAGAATTCAACTTCTAATCCAGTTGAGTCATTACATAAATAACATTTTTTATTTGAAACTCTGAAAGGGCTTAACGCAGATGATAAAACTGAACTACCTGTATTGCTATCTGCTCAAACAGATAGAGCAAACTGTTTTCAAGCAGCGAGGATCGGCAACAGGAGCACCGTGGTGTCAGGTGTGACTGTATGACAAAGACAAATGTTTGACATGGCTCACAGGTCATTAACCAAGGCCCGCGAGCTGAATTTTGCTTAAAGGCCTCTGAGAGGTCAGGACCTGCTCTGTCCAAGTCACTCTGTCGCTCTTATAGAGAGTCCCCTTCCTAATCTGTGCAACCAACCTGAATCCAAAAACCATCTGTTCCAATCGCTGTAGCAGAGCTGGCTGCAGGCATGGAGGTTCATGTTGAGGCAGACAGGAAATAGTTTTATGAGTTTCTTGAGCTGATCCAGTCGCTGGTATATCTTACAGGGAGGTTGTATGTAATAAGTTTCTTAATTTCTTAATTCAGTACTATTCATTTGTATTTGTTTCTGATGCCTGTGACTTTTCTACAGTGCATTTTGATAAATACAGTTTTATATTTAGTTTATATCATTTCCACAGAGATAGGAGGATTAGTGCCTCGAAATAGGAATGATAGGGTCTCTTTGTACTTCATAATTGCCTGAAATGTACAGTAAATAGTTCTTATCTTATAAATATGTAAACAAGACCTAGCCCCACATCATTTCCCCACTCCTCCTTCCCTCTGTGCAAAAAGAAGAGATGTTTTTTTTTGTGAGTGCATGTGTGTGCCACTGTGTTTTTTAAACTAATGCCAGTCCATAAAACTCACACACAGGGTGCTTTCAGAAATCTGAGTCAGAATGAGAAATACTGTTAAAACTGTTCAAAAATAAACAGTCAAACAGTAAAGTTAGAAAGAGAAGCTAAAAGTAGGAAAAAGTAGAAAAGAGCAGCATGTTGTGATTACAACAGGTTACACTAGAACTACACTAGAACTACAAATACTGATATGAGTAGTTTTTAGTTTTCCCTTTTTGTCCCTTTGTGGGGGTCAAACCATGTGTTGCAGGCCTCCTTATTGTTCTAATCAATGAAGATGGTTCTTTATGTCTCTGTTTGTTGTTTTCCATCTGCAGAACAAATCTATCACCAACTAGATGCCTCGGTTATTGTGTTTCATCACAAGAATCTTTTGCAAAAATTCATCAAGTTTTACAGTTTTGTCTGACAATAACCTGCAGCTTTTTGTATTTTTGACTGTCAGGGAAAACTAAAAGAAAACAATAATCACACTTCCTTGTTATAATTGTTGGTTTGAGCTTTAAAGTTCTAAGATGAGGGATTCATTTTTTCCTCTTTTATATGTTCATTACTGGAGACACAAATAAAATTAATTTTAACTTTGGATGGAGGGTGTGACTGTACTTGAGTGATGCACCTTTCTAACCAATTTGATATTAATGAAATAAAGGTGGAGTTTGCAGTTTTTGAGAAAGATTAATGACATTTAGTTTGTATTTTTTTAATTTTTTTTTTAGCATATTTAGATTTAGCATGGGCTTCTAGCACCGTTGCCTCGGGGCTAGAAGGTCGCCAGTTCATGTCCCCGTGAGGACACCCAGGATCTTTCTGCATGGAGTTTACATGTTCACTCCCCGTGCAGCGTGGGTTCTCTCCAGGTTCTCCGGCTTCCTCCCACACAGTCCAAAAACATGTTGAGGTTAATTGGTGATTCTAAATTGTCCATAGGTGTGAATGTGAGTGTGCTTGGTTGTCTGTCTCTAAGTGTAGCCCTGTGATAGACTGGTGACCTGTCCAGGGTGTCCCCTGCCTTCGCCCTGAGTCAGCTGGGATAGAATCCAGCCCCCCATGACCCTAGTGAGGATTAAGCGGTGTATAGATAATGGATGGATGGATGGATTTAGCATCCCTATTGCTCTCACTACCTCTGAACTGAAGTAGTAGATTGACTGTCCTTACTCTCCAACTACTTTTGAAATACATCCCAAAAAGCCCACTTAGAGACATTTGAATATATACTGTGCATTAAATAAGTGCCTCTAAAGTATCCGGTACACTTTGGACAAACAGTAAAACTTTGTTTATAGGCCTTTATTCAAGAGTGCCATCAGAACAGGAACAACTCCATTCGGTTCGTTCAGCAGAATCGGAATCATTAATCTTAATCTCTTGTGTTCATCAGAGCGCCTTTCAAACGGCTGTGTTAAATATGGTATTAAATATGGCAGGCTGCAGGAAATGCACATACTGTTACAGTCCTGACAGATTCTCTGAGCTGCTGTGATGATGGCTGTAATTCTGCCAACTCCGGCACACAGTGTACTTTACTATAATAGCTGGTCTGGCATCGCATCCAACTTTCACACTTTGGCACACTCTACAAGGAAGATTCATGCCTGCGCCGGCTTTTATTAACATTAATAGAAATAGCTCTCCCCAGGTGTAACGTCAGGATCAGCACATCTCTGGCTAGAAAGAGGCTGAATCAGGATGAATGACCCTCACGGTCATTACTTCAGCTCCACGCTTTTGAACAGACTTGACAGAGAAGAGGAAAGGCACTACAACTTTTGTCTTTTTAAATAACTTAGACCAAGAAGTAGGTTTGCCATTGAGCTCCACTCCAATCAAATGTGCTACATCTTTTTTTAAAATCCAATTTTAGGTGAATATCTGTGAGATTTCTGTGTTTTTTGTTGCGGAAAATCAAAGATTTAGTAACTGTACTGATATCAGGCATGCACCACAGGGTTTCTAAAGACTCTGTTAAAAATATATTCTTATTTCATGTTCAGTCCAAAGTCCTGTTTGTTCTCATGAAGTGTTTCCCTTCATGTCAGGCGTCCATGAGGGTTGTGAAGACTTCTACAGTATGCAACAGAAACAACACACCCCTGTGCAATATCACTTGAATGATTCCAAATTGCATCACCTATAAATAACTGTATTGTGTCTAAGCTGACAAGCATCAAAAACAAAACTTTAGAAAGACAATATTGTAAACACAGACCCTAAAGGAGAAATTCAGAGCAAAAAATAATTAAATACACCTGTAAGCACTGACACATAATGGCTGAACATGGAAAAGGTTTGCCAGAGGATTTGAAAATTTGGATTGTGAGATTTCACAAATATAGAAAAACAATAGAGAAAGATCAGTGACCAACTAAAAAAATCGGTTGTAGCAGTAAACCAGAAGTATACAACAAGCCACAGCATCACTAATCAGAGCCACAACGGTCATCCATCCAAAACGATAATGGACAGTTTGCTGCTTGAACAACCTAAACAGACGGGTGGCTGCCTTTCACTTGGTACAGAGGTAGTCAACAGAAAATGGAGTCTCTGTGATAGCTCACCCAAGAAAAAAACCCAAGCTTGCTCTTTGGTACGAAACTGCAAGAATAAACTTTGCTAAAGAGCATGAAAAGAAGCCTAAAGAATGTTGGGAACATGATCTTTGGTCAGATGAGCCCAAGAAAGATTTATTAAGACAGAATGGAGTCTAGCATGCTTAGTGTGAGCCTGACCAGGACTACCACAGTGCATGGATAGTCCCATAGTGAAGCACACAAGTGGAAATGGATGAATGTAAACGCTGTTGGGGTGATAGCATTTATGGATGGCACCATAAATGCCTGTGGATATAGGTAAAGATGAATCCCAGCCTGTAGAAGCTTTGCTGAAGAGAAACATTCCAGCATGATGACAATCCAACACCAACGACCAACATTTATAAGAATTTAGAAAAACCAAACAAAAACAGTGACAGCTATTACCTGGCCTAGTAAGTCGCCTGATCTGAATCTGAACACTGTTGGAGTATTTTAAAGAAAAAGGTAGAGCAACACAGCTGCTTCTGAAATTTGTGCAACACTGGTGTCCTCAATGCCAAGAACAGCTGAATCTGACATAAACAATTGTCAATATTAACAAATTAAATTTTTTTTTAAAAAGATTTAAATCTCAGTAGGGACTGACTTTTATTGTATTCCTACTGCAGGTCTTGTATAATTATTATAGTAAGTCTCAACTGTTGGTTTTTAATTTTACATAAGAGCAAACAGCTTACTGTTTACCTTAGAGGTAGTGCAATTACTGTAAGAGCATAAACTTTTGAATCATGTGACATTTAGGTAATATTGTACGTTTCGATTGAGTAAAGCAATGTAAACTTTATGCCTTTGGTAGATTCCCTATTAGTAAATGTGGCCTTACCTGTCTCTCCATGGTATGACAAGATCAGGGTTGATCTTGCGAAAGAAGTATTCTCCTCCAGGCTGCCGTCCATTGTAGCTTCGGATGGGCGTGTCCTCACCGGAGTCCTCCGTCAACATGGGCTCCTCTGGGTTCGGCCTCGTCATGCCGATGTATTTGGGAAGGAAGTGAATGAACACCTGAGAAGTTAAGGGTTAAGAAGCAGGTCAGTAGGGTTTTACAGAGGTATTGAAATAGATGGATTGCAAGTACCTTTCGAACCCAGTTTGGCATGATGTGCGTGCTGGGCGTCCGGTGGTGAAGGTTGAGGACGACCACACTCAGGATGACAGAGAACGTGACCAGGATCATGGTGAACATGACATAGTTGACAATAATTGGGATGCCGAGGGAAGTCTCAGGGACCCTGTCAGCCAGCAGCAGCATGAACACAGTCAGAGCGATGAGGACAGAAATGGAGAGAGTCATCTTCTCTCCTGCAAACAAAGGAGGCAGTTTGGAAAATTAATTACGACGGCAAGGCAGACAATATTACACTGACAAGGCCGCACTTTACGACATGATTGCGCTTGACTGTTTGTTGTGGGGAAACATGCCTTATCTTTAAAAAAAAATGTTGCTCAAAGACATGTGCTGGACAGTTGTGCTGATTCAGCACAGTTTCACCGATTACCTAAAGTGAGTTTCTGCTCCAAAAAAAATTCATCATGCTCAAACGGTTTTACCATCAATCCTGCTGTTGAATCTATATTTCCTGCAGTGTCATTGAAGCATCACTCTGAACGTGCAGGCACACAAGGCCAAAGATTGACAAAGAAGATTCATCGGCTTGGTCACTTTGCTTCAATCTGTAGTATATCAATAAATTCCTTCAAAGGTTGCCCTGACTCATGAAGCAGCTTGTACAAGACACGCGCTTCCTGTCATGGCATGAGACAGTGTATCACTTCCTATACTCTTTCTTGGCAGTGATGTGTGGTGGCAATGTCAAAACATGTCAGATGTGCTGACCTGCTCCGGGAGGCAGGTAGAAGACAAATATAGCCAACACACTGGTGAGGATGCAGGGCATGATGATGTTGATAATGTAGAAAAGAGGCTTCCTCTCTATGATGAGATAGAAGGTGATGTCCTCATACAGGTCCTCCTTGATGTTCTTCCTTGATGGTTTGTGGCAGATGGCCCATTCGCCGTTCTCTGCAGAGAAGGCGAGGAGCAGGGAGAAGAGGTTAAATGCTGGGTGAAGGTTTAATTTTAAATCTTTAGGATTCGCAGTGACGTGAAAGACATAAACCAAGAGAGCTACAAAAGCAAAAGCAAAAACTGCCTGTATACATTTCTTAAGATACACAAAAAATACGATATAAACTGGATAAACCCTCTCCATGTACCAACCAGTGAAAGCGTTCTCATCTATAACAATCTCCTGGATCTCTTTGCCGTCATCGTCCAGATAGTACTGCAGGTCGACCTCAGAGGCGTCATAGGTGTACGAGCGGAAAACCATGCTGCAGTTTTGCCAGTCAAATGGAAAGTACGCCACCTATGCATTGTTGAATGGAAGTGAAAGACAAGCATGCATAATTTAGGGCAATATCTAAAAGACCAGACATGCTAAAAATGTGGAGCCATACTTTGCATGACTCCTCCACCTAACCCTATAGTATTAGAGCAACACAGGTTTTCCCAGTCATGATGAAATTACACAAATGTGAACTGATTTTGTTTGGTGCCACATTGATTGAGAGGCGAAGATAATCCAGTCAACATCTGGTGCCATTCTTGGAAGCACCCACCCACCAATTTGTAAACGTTATGCGGCTAGTTTATTATAGTAGGTAAGTCAGTCCACATCTGCAAAGTGACGAAAATAATCCAGAACTATAGTTTGAGATCTAACCTGTTTGGTTTGATTTGCAAAATTAGAACACTGAATTTGGCAATCCATCAGCCTTTACATGACCTCAGTGTTTCTAAGCAGAAAATACTGCTTTTTTTTTCATAATTTTGATTTTCTGTGCTGATATAAACTCAGAAGACTGTATCTACCGCTTCACACAAGCTTTCAGACGGTACCTCTATAGAGCAGGAGCTGCGGTAGATGGCTGGTGGGAGCCAGTTGACCGTCCCATCACTGTAAACCAAGACGTTGACATAGAGAGCCACGTCGAACTGACCATCATTACTGCAGAGAAAAGAAAAATCATGCTCAAATTACAAAATGGCCATTTCATTTTTATATACAAACACAAAAACACGTTAAATACATTTTGTCTCCTGGTCAAGTTCTGTCTTCCGTGCTAGATTTCAACCCTTGAATTGATGGCATCTAGTTATGCAAACATGTTTAACAAGGCTAAACTAGATGTTCTGTTTGTTTTTTCAACATTTGAAGTCAGTTTTTTAACCAATTTCACCACATTTCTTGGCAGTCCATCCATTGCTTGTTGAGAGATTTTAGCAGACCTTGTTTGGAGAGCAGACAGGACACTCACTTGTTTATGAGGTAGATGTCGGGACGCCACACCTTGTTGGGAGGAATTCTCAAAACATCAATGTCGTCATATTCTTTCGGGTTCCATGACAACCTGTAGTCTGTCCACGCCTGGGATGGATGAACAGAAGAAGGAAGGCAGCAGAGAAGCAGAACAAAGAATAACAAAAAAAGTGAATGACAGAGCAGACTAAAGGTGATGTCCCCGTCTCTTCTATGCTTCTATCCTCCCCCCCTTCGACAAATCTGTTAAAACCCACAGACACACATTCACGCACCGCTGTCACAAGCAGTCCTGAATTATAATTAGCAAATGACAGAACTGAAAGAGTGAGTCAGAGAATAAGAGGGATAAAGCGAGAAATAATTTGTGGTTATAAAAAGTGACAAGTCCATTTAAGGGCAGAGCAGCAGAGCAGAAGAGAGCGGAGTTAGAGCGAGGCAAGGGAGGGACGATGAATATTTTTGTGCTTATACCAGATTCATGAACACGTTGGTTGTCATCTCGCCGTTCTTCTCATTCTGTAGCGGGACAGAGAAGCACGTACATTAGCAACAACATCATATCTAGTTGTGTATGTCACTAACAATACTTTCAAAGCTCCCCAATGGAAATGAATTGTGTGTGGATGAAAGAATCCCAGCAGGAATCTGGTCTGTAGAATATGTTTGTACAATACTACTATATTTTTATGAAATAAACTTTGAAAAAAAAGATTGATCTACGAAGGATTTGCAGGATCATTTCAATGCATGTAAGAGTGCATATGTGCATGTTGCTCCACACAATACTAAAACCACTGACAAGTAAAGGGAATAACACTGATCGTTTCATTATACTGGTTCTGTGGGGAAACCTTGACAGTACAACAGCACTTCCCAACGGCAGCAACTACCCCTACCAGGGCAATGTGATTTGCCCAATGGAAAAACTGCTCAGAAACAGTTTGAACAAAACAAAGAGGCCAACTCCCCACATCCCAATTGGATCAGGTATGGTCAAGGAATACGCCAGATCCATGGAGGTCCCAAACCACAACCAAGGACATCCCAATGCCTGACACCACAAGACACCACAGAGGTCCTGTGCCCATACCTCGATGGGTAAGAGCTGTATTAGGGGCCCAGTGTGAGACGTTAGACAGGTGGTTTTAATGTTGTGGCTGATGGGTGCATTTTGCATTCGTGTATTTATATTTACCAAGCTGACAAGCTGGGAGAGGGTCATCCCCACCCGAACCATCACCTTCTCCTCCCAGTAACGAGCTGGTCTCACTTTCATGTTGTAGTTCTGAAATATCTTCTGATGGAGCCTTCGCTCTGTTTCTGAGGCTCCTGGATGAAAGGAGGCATGCAAAGAGACAGAGCACGATGAGGGGAAAAGGATCACTAATGAACCAATTGCCACCACCATCTGACAAAAAAACGGCACAGTAGAGGATGGTGATGTGGATGAAAAGCGAAGAGGAACAAAGAAATAGGAAAAAGAGAAAAAAAAAAGATGAAAGTAAAGGAAGAGGCAGAGTCATGTGTTTTATGCAGTGAAGACAAAATGATAACTGGCTTGAGAGCAAAGCTTAGAGGATCTTATATAAAGCATGTGGGCCTAAATGGGTCTCTATCATGTCACAAGTTAATATCAGAAAAGCACAAGTGCCTCCATAATTGGGAATGCATCACGTGTAACATGTCAAAAAAGACATGTGCCTGCTTTTCACACTATATGGAATATTACATGTGAAAGTGATGGTGATTTTCCGCATCTGAAAATCCCATGCACTATTAAATTTTATGTCTTTTATCTTTTAGTCTTATTGGAAAAAGAAACAGAATACACTTCGGACAAGAGTGGATGCAAAAGATAAACAGCGACCTACAAGGCTTAAAAATCCAGCCAACATGAAAACGGCCAAAACTGCAGTTCCTGAAATGACCACTTGAGGCTGGCTCTAATCTCTAATCTCCACAGACCCCCATGTTAAAATGCAGGACTTTATAGTAGAAATAAACATGTTTACTACCTGATATTAAGAAAAACAACAAAAACAAAAAGGTCTCTATTGCTAATTTCTCCATGCATGACAACTGTATGGGCAATGGATGCTCATTTAGATTGCATTGAGGCTTTTGAAGTTATGCATGATTAAGACAGTGTGCTCACTCTTTTTTCAGCTTTAGTTGTGATGATACAGAATATCCTCCTCCAGGCCTTGTACATTGGGATTAGATGGCTGGGTTAAAGGTGTCAGTGACAAATGTTTTACCAAAAGTTTACCTAAACTCTCAGGGACAACGTCACAATGGCTGTGCTGGTGTTTTAATAATAGGTCAAATAGGGGGTGGTCTCATTGGAAACAACCAAAAAAATACACTGGCCACTGGTGGACAGACTCCCAAAGGGTGGGTGCTGTGTCTCGGCTTCATTTGGTCCACCTCAGCTCTAATCGCGCTACACCTCTTGGCTCATTTTTCTGATTAGATGGTCATTAGGAGGCATTAGGAGGGTAAGATGGCTACAGCTGAACTGAGCTTCCTCGGGAAACCGATTGGTGACTTCGCTGAGGGGTTGTCCATCTTCGTATACAGTCCATGGCAAAAGATCACAACCCGAACTAGTCCGACACTAAAACTTGAAGGTGGAAGCCACTTACACCCAACAAAAGCATGTTTGTTCTCTGTAGATCAGTGAGGCAGTGGTTTGGGGTTCAGTTTGTACTGAGATGACCTACACTAAAAATACCACCTCCTCTATACACAGGATGGACTGCTGCCCTGTTGTGTGATTCATATTCTAATGAGACCACACAAAAAGCATTTATATCATTACACTGTGATCTGAAAATAAATACGGCAGGAAAGTAGCGGAGCCAGAGAACTCATTATGTGTAGAGATGTGATATGATTTTATTCATCTTGCAGGGAAACCTCCGCAGCACAAATTGGATTTTATTAATTACCAATCATACACTCCGAGGTAAGGTGTAAGATTAAATTAGCCCTCTCCATGATAAGCACCTCCGAAAATGTGCTTCAGTATCTGCTGATGAGGGACCGTCTTTCATCGCAAATATGTGACAAAACAGAAGGACGGACAGGACATGCGAAAGAAGCAGCAGAAAGGCAGGTGTTGGTGTACGATGGGTAGCAAAGGTGACTGAGCTAATGTAATTGATATGCAGCGAGGGAATGGGATCAAAGGGATGTCTGGGATACCAGCTCCATTGGGGACAAAAATAGATTCTGATTAACAAACAATGATGTGTTAATATGATTCATTAAATGTTCCAGAGGAAGAGGAGAAGGAGGAGAGCGGTCTTAGGGTCTTTGTTTCCATTGTGGTTTACCTCTTATCACAGAGGAAATACAGTTGTAAAAGCAGCCTCACAAAAGGGACAAGAATACACCACCGCCACCCCTGCGGAGTTCCCCGAACAGCGCTGGCTAGCTTTTTGCTTTCCGCTCCTATCGTGAGGTCAAGAAGGTCAAAGTCAAAGCGCTTCAACTGAGCCCAGATAAGAAGTATTGAAAATCAATTTTAATTATGATTTTAACCCCCACATGTCGCACCCAAAAAGAGAGAGAGAGAGATAGGGGGAAGGAAAAAAAACAGAGGAAATGGAATCAATAGCAATTTAACCTCACTGACAGAGTGCAGTTGGATGTGAGATGCTTGGCTGTTATCTGATCCTACTGTAGCTGTCTGACTTACAAAAAAATACGCCTCAATTCCTACGCCTGAAAGTGGAGGAGGAAAGGAGTCTCCTCTGGGAACCCAGAGAGGAAATAGGTAGTAGAGTTAAGGAGAGTAACACTGAATCACAGGACACCAGCAAACACAGGGCACCTGTTTGTTTTCTAAACCGAGTGTAGGGTCAGAGGTCAAAGTCAGAGGTAGTCAAACATATTTATCTTCCTTTCTTCTTTTCTACCTTTCCAATAGCGTGCATGATCTTGATTTAAACATAAAAGAAACAATTTAGCTCTGTTCTTTTAGCATTTAAACATATTTATTGCTGGTTTTAGTGTCAGAATTACCTGAATTCTCAGATTCTTACAATCAAAACTCAAACATTCCCAAACTTTAAAATCTAAAATCTATTCCTGCTTCAAAAAACATCAGCTAACAGAAAAAAATAGCATCACCGCAAATCATGATGATCACTGGCTCATCCAGTGTAACCACAGAACACGCTCCCAACAAGGTCCTCACCTGTGAAAGTGAGGCAAAGGCAGCCGCATACGAAGAGAAGTGCGTTCATCCTCACATCAGCGCTCAGCTTCATCTTCATTTTTCCAGTGAAGGCAGTCATGACATCTTTTTGCACTTTGTCTGCTCCTCTCCCGGCTACAGTCTGTCGCTCTTCTGCCTCACAACTTCACCTGGAACACGGATGGATGAGCGACTCCTAAAGCGTGGACAAACCTTGGTACCACGGGCAAATACATGCACACCTCCAGCCGGATTGCGGATAGTTGGCACCTCCAAAAGCACAAGCCGTTCAGCTAACAGCTCTCTCTCCTGCCCCTTCGTCTCTTTGTGGCCATGGCTCCATGGGTGAAACCACGGCCTGATTGGGTGCGCGTGCTGGGAGTGACGAGAGGGCGGAATGTGTTTGCACTGGGAAGCCTGTGGGGCAGGCACCTGTTGGTGCTCACCAATCTGAGGTTAGCACTATGGGGACGGTGGGTGGAAGAGGAAGTGGAGGGGGTGGGATGGGGCAGAGGAATGGCAATGGGCTATGGGTTATGACAATGGGGATATTTTTGGGGGGAGAACAAGTGGGCAGGGTGGAGGGTGGAGTTGATTGGCGGCGGCTGTGTGGATGAAGCGGTTAATAGGTGGCATTGCTTGCTCATTTCACTTTTAATGCCTTCTTCATCCCATTATTGATCACTGTTCGTCATTCAATCAAATCTCCTCCATTTCTTCAAGCATTCATTTTCAAACTTTTGTTTTCTACTGTGCTGTGTTTGGTCATAAAAATGAATCTATAACAATCTGACACTTAATTTAGTTGTGACTTTAACAGTTTCAACTATCTGACTCACAGCTCATGAGTTTACGGGAATAACTTGTCATCACCTTTCCGATTTTAAGTCCTTTACGCAGCTGTGAGAACAGTCGCGTCGAGAGCGTCCAGTGAAAAATATGCAATGAATTAAATCTACTATGTGTGGAATTCCAACGTCCCAGCTGGTGCCTCCCAGTGGTAGGAACAAAAAAGACAGTGGGGCAGATAGCAATAATAGGCACAAGAATCCTTTAATAAGACACGGAAAGACAAAGACGAGTCTCCATTAGTGTGTAGGCAGAAATGGAAACTGCTTTTGCATTTAAACATGTGTTTAGTTTCTGTTGACGCATACGATCATGTTAATTTCCTCCCACTTTTGTTGGTTGCTGATATGACGAACTTTGACTTATTTTTCATGAGCATTTCAATACTGTAGGATGATATTCACAATGTTGTCTAACTACACCAGGCTATATTATTTTAAAAGATTTGATTGTCTTTTTTTCTTTTGTACGTGTCTTTTTTTAAATGGCAGGATTCACATATTTTACGCGCCTGTTAAGTAATTTTTTAATCCCACACCTGCTTCCATTTCACCCTACACCCTAATGTAGAGTCCAAATGGTCTATCCATGCATTATTAAAGGATTCTTATATTAAAAACTCAGTGTGCCTCGGGTACTTTTTGGAGTGCTGACCGATGCTAAGGACTTCCATTAACAAGAAGTGCTACAGGGAGTGCTTCCCCACACACCAAAAGATTATATAACCCTGCATAATTGGTGACTTTAGTCACACAGAAGCTTTAAAAGTGATGACCAGAATTGCGACGGAACTTGGAATTTCTAAAACACCAAGGATCAGATCCACAATCCTGACATTATCTTTGTGATATCAAAGCGGTTAATGACAAGTAAAATGAAGAGAGAGATAAAGGAAAAGCAGTTATTAGAGCCAAAGTTGACATTATGTGACCTTAGATGTCTCTAATGTATGTTTGGGACTTAAAATGAGAGGCACGCAAAGACTCCGTGGAGTGAAACCCGGCAGGATAAAATCTCGAATAACCAAACGTCTTGGCAGGAGCAGCGAAGCGACGTCTGTAGTGATGGAGAGGTCTTACAGGATTTGATCAGGGAAAGAGCATGCAGTCTCGCTGATACCGAGTTTGAGGTGAGCTTGAGGCAAGAAAAGATGTCGAATAAAGCGTAAAAATGGAGATGGATGTTGTTGCTATAGAAATGGTGAGCTCTGAGACGTGAAGACTGCGAGCGTAATGATCGATGAAGTGCAGGCCTCGGAGTGAACTCCAGTTTCGGCTGCATCTCCGATCCTTCATGTTGCGTCTTATAAAGTTGATGTCTATATTTCAAGGATCATAAAGTTTTTGTTTTTTTTTTGGTATCTGTTACACAAGAAAGGAAAATGCTCAGTTTCTCTCCATCACCTACTCTCTGTCTCTGCTTTTGACTTTCTATCTTCTCTGTTGTCTACACTTTCTCCCTCCTGCTGGATTTTCCAGAGCAAAAACAAGCCATAGATCAGAGCCACATTGACAGTTGTGTGAGGGAAAATGTCTCCGATTTGCCCTCTCGCATGCCAGCACTCCCAGTATAAATACATCAGAGAGGCCCTTGTGTGTTTTCGTGCATCCTACAGAACAGCTCGTCTTCCCAGCGTTACAGTTTGATGCAAGGTCAAGGTGTAGAGATGTAGTGTTGCAACAGCGCTGCAGGGACTTCTATCATATTGAAGGGCTATCAACACCGTCGCCTCAATGGGCTGTTCACAATGACTGCAGACTTTCAGACCTTCAAATGCTTTCAGCTAATAGAGCTCACGGCGCATGTATGCATGAGTGTATTTACACATAGAAATATCAGGGAAGCCCGTGCGGCAGTGTCCGGTGACCAGTGCCAGCGTGTGGGTTATTAAAAGCAGAGTGGGGCAGGTGATGGAGCGAGGGTCGCAGCATTCTGACAACAGATGGAGGCCTTTGATATCCTTCCCCCCCTCAGATCTTTATTTAAAAGACAAAAACAAAAATGAAAGCACAAGATTAAAAGGGCAGATGTGTGTTTGTGACATGTGAGAAACACAAAAAGGGACGTGCTCAGTGCGTGAGATGCTGAGAGGTGCACGCTTTCTGTTCAGCGGGAATTCCACGGGCCATCGGTGCAGCTGGTGAATTGAGCCGGCGTGCCGCTTTGCACATAAGAATAGCCTTCCATGCAAACGCACACATACACCGGGGCCTTAAAATACAAAGAGGATTACCGTGGCTGCAGAAACATCCACGGAGCATGTGCCACACTCCGGCACATTCTGACACAGGGAAATGAAAGGGATACAAGCATGCTCATTATAGCATCTGGTTTGTCTCGGTGTTTATGTGTTGGATCCACACTTCAGACTTAGAGTCCTAATGAAGCTAGTATGCTAAAAACACACCAGTAACTTATATTCAATCATATATATACACTTGTAAGGTATGTCAACATTAGCTCGATCGCTATATAACATGCAACAAGTTATTTTAAATCTATGCAAAGTCCACTTCCTCTAAGAGAAGGTACAATAACACAGTAAAATGAACCTGGTTTGACAAAGCTGATGTGGTTGCAGCTCAGATGGCCTGGTTACATGGGACATACGCATTATAAGGTTTACAAAGGCGTTTCATATAGGCACAAATTGAAGTGTTGCATTGGAAATTATAGTTTGACGCCAAGTATTCTGGCAGGGCAGTCCGTTGCCTTCTCAACATGCACTTCCCCATTTCTAGGGTGGTACAAGAAACCCTTCCAGTGCTTCAGGGGGATTTGAACGGGTCAGTGGGCGTGTGGTTGAAACTGGCATCGGCGAAGATGGCCAAGGTGCCCACAGTGGTGAAGACGACGAAGATCCAGAGGAACATGCGGTCCACAACCATGGCGACATACTGCCAGTCCTCTTTCAGCTGGATGAGGGAAGATTGACGAAAGGGAGGACAAAGACGGACAGAGGGGGGCAAACAGAAAACAGAGATCAGGAAAGGAATCAAGAGTTAAAAGGAATGAAGAAGAAGATGGAGGAGTGTTGAGCGGCTTACAGCTTCGTAGTCCTTCTCGGCCTGCAGAGCCTCGGCGATGTACGTGATGGCGTCTATGGCGGTCTTGAGCTCGTCAGGTAGCGTGAGGTAGCTACTGGGACCGTCGATGAACTTCCTCAGATCTGTGCACATGCCCTCTGGCTGGAACCTGCAACAAACACATACATCAGCACCATAGGAGACTATTAATTTTAAAAAAAGAAAAGTGCAAATAAATCTCAGAGCGGTTCCAGGAGAGTTTTAAAGTGTCAACAGCCCAACTGAACAAATGCTCACAAGCCTGCAGAATGTAGCGGCGTGCCAGCAGGTGTCAGTCCACACTAATTAAAAGCTGTAAAATAGCAACGCGTTTATGAGCCGGGCCGCACGTATCCTTTGCACTCTTCTGTCATTCGGGGAGGAATAAAGGGAAGGTCACAGGAGCTCCCCGGGTCCCCCACTGCCGGTGTGGGAGACACTGCTCTGCATCTGCTGACCGGGCTGCTCTGGCTGAGAAACAGTGTGTGTGTGTGCGTGTATGTGTGTGTGTTTCTGTGTTTACTTGTTGCCCTCAGTTACCAACTGTCAGCTACTTTTGGGTGCCAGGAGTTGCTGGGGGAAGCCAGGAGAAAGTTACCTTCATAACTCTGCTGCCGCTCACTTATTATTAAAGGTCAAACTTGGTCATAGTTAACGATAAGAGAAAGTCGGAAATATAAACTTAAACTTCAAAAAAGGAGGGGTTTTCTAGAGCACAGTTCTCTTGCTTAAAGTGCACAGGAAAGGCTTTGTATTCATTGCTTTTTCAAATGAAATGATCTTCACAGTGAACGTGGTAATTGAAAACCTTCTTACAATAATGTTTTGAAGTGGTTAAGTTAAACCTTGTAATGTGAAACTAACCACTGTATTATTTTTCATGCCTGAAAGCATCAAAGCACAGCAAGTAAAAATAGATTTTTATTGTGTTTTCTATGTTTTAAAAGCTCAAAGCTGCACAAATATGAAGTTGCTTACTGCTCTCATTCCTCCTCAACTAGCTCAGCTTTGCAATTCACAAGTCCCTTTTTACAGAGAAACTCAAGAACCAATAGTCATCTAAAATGTGTCTAATCCTGCCCCGTCACCACTCGCTTCTTTCAAGAATTCAGAATGAACGGTGGCTCACAGTTTGCCAGGTTTGTGAAGCTGCTTCTGCTAAGTCTAAAATGTTCAAGCTACAAGCAAAGCTCACCAACTGTTCCACTGTTAGCCGCAAGAGTGAACACAAGAGTCTTCATGCACTGTCAGCACCTTAAGAACTGTCCCCACAATAAGAGGGAAATGCTTAGTGTTAGCATGTTGCGCTGCTAATGTCGCTAACATTACAATTAGCTTTGATTGTACAAATAGCAGAAATGCTGAAAACATTAAGACCAATTGGAAACCAGTAAACATGGACTGATTGTGTTTTCATGTTGCTTTCTGTACATACACAGCATTTTAATACAGCTGAATTCCCAATAAAACTGCTCTCGTTTATCTACTTTTCTGTTCCTGTTGTCAGACAATGCAGGAGGTAAGAAACAGTGACTGAAGCACTCTTCTTTAAGACTACGTGTTGACCTAGAAGTCAGTTCAGAGCCATTTCCAAGCTGCTGCTCTGCACCACCGAAATACTGGTTTTAGAACCATAACATTGTCCGACTGAGACTTTTTCCAGGTTAAACGATCACTCAGAGAGAAAGTCAGAAGCAATAGAAAGACCTGGTCTCACACACTCAATAATGTCTGTGGCAGATGTTTTCAACTGTTTTGTTCCACTCTGTCAATCCCAGACACAGACAGAGCCTTCGTCCTGAAGAGGTCGTCGACAGCAGCAGCTCACTTTAAAGCTACAAACACTGAAGCTGCCTGTTTAGATCAGAGTTAAATCCAGAGGTTTTGGCAAAACATACCATCTTTTTGGCCATCTTTTTTGTCATACCAGGCTGTAACATGAAGGTGATTTCTTATGAATGAAACTTTATATTTGTACTCTTCTCTTAAAAGTTATTCAGTCTCACTTCAGCATGCAACGACTTGATTAGATTTCGCAGCATTACTCATTTTATTCATCTTCTCTGCTCTGATTTGTGCACAGCGTCGTGCAGCATGTCCTTCAGCAATGACACATGGATTACCATTGGCTGCCTCCAGCGGGGAGACACAAAGCTTTAATGCTTCAACAACCTCAAGCAGTGACTCTCTCAGCACAACAACCACAGCTAAAAAATGCTTATTTGAGAAACGGCATTGTCATTGTTTATTCTTGTTTTGGTGGCGTTGGGCATCATTTTTATCGGATATGATAGCGCTGTTCTCTCTGAAAATGTTTGTTGAGATCTGGGGAATCATTGCTACAATGAAGAAGGAAAAAAAAAAAGACTAACAGATGGGTTGAGCCAGAGTTCCCAAACTACTTTTTTTTTGGAGGTCACTGTTAAATGAGGACACCTGAAATGTGTGTGTACAAGTAAGTTACGCAGCTCAAAGTTAAACCAGATGGAACGGAATATCGGAAAGTCAGTTCTTGTTCAAATGAGTTTAGCTTTAGGACGATATGTAAATGGCCTGAGCAGCCGTTGTTTAGACGATTATGTAGGGCAGGGGTCTGGAACTCCGGTCCTCGAGGGCCGCAATCCTGCAAGTTTTAGATGTTTCCTTCTTCCAACACACCTGATTCAAATGATCAGCTCATCATCAAGCTCTGCAGAAGCCTGATAACGATCCTGATCATTTGAATCAGGTGTGTTGGAAGAAGGAAACATCTAAAACATGCAGGATTGCGGCCCTCGAGGACCGGAGTTCGAGACCCCTGATGTAGGGTGACCATAATCGGCCCGGCTATGACATACCCAGATGATACTCGAAGTTTACTCAAAGATGCCTTATAATTTCAACACCAGGACATTTTCATCACAACAAGTAGGACGACCAGGACAGGACGTGAAAACAGGACATGTTCTGTGAAAACAAGACGTTTGGTCATCCTACTCTTATGCCAAACTAACACCTACATCAACACCACAAATCAAGGCTTTCCAACAGAACACGGAGTTGTCGTTTATTGGTATCACTCACAGGATCAAAATCAGAAAAATGATTTTGAACAGAATCCCCCTTTATCAACTTCTTCATAGAATTCACCTTGCCTCCTCCTGACCTTCTCCAAACAAACACAACACTCCGACAAGATCAACTTCATCATCTTAGCAGAGCAGCTGCTTTTCTTATGAAACACCTCAAATATTAAACACCTCCTTCGCTTACAGTTTCAGACCCCAAAAACACGAGAGATCACAGTTAGAACGAAACGCAGCTTCGGACATCTCCTCCACCAGAGGGCAGTGTGGCACCGTGTCTCCAAAATGGAGTGTAACCGGGCAGGACAGGGCAAAGCAGGTAGCTGCTTGGTATTCTGTGCATGAAATTACGGGGTTTACAATGCAGCGCTGCCGTCGCTGCTGCTCCTGCGAGCGTGGCGGGTGAAAAGGCTGCGACCTGAGAGAGGTGAAGCCCCGTCAGGTAACGAGAGGAAAGGTGAGAGAGAGAGAGAGAGGGAGGGAGGAAGAGACACAGCTTGGCCTCTTCACCCCCTCCTCCCTTTTCCCTCCTTTATGGCTCAAAGTAGCACTTCATCAGCGAGAAGTAAATGACTATTGAGGAGACTAATTCAACTAAAACTGGCTGCGTCTGGTGCCAAGACATGCACTAAACCCAATTAAGAAGGTGCGCGTGAGTGTATGTGTGGGCTCCGGAGAGATACTGCTGTCTCATCAAGTTGCTCCGACACAGCCTCCTCGTTCCTTCCTCCTCCGTTCTTTCACCTCGACTCGCAGGCGTCTAATGTGTCAGACTCGATTTGTGTGGGTCATTATTATTTTAGCAACGATTCTCTCCCTCCAGACATATTTCATCTCTCGAGGGAGGTTAGAGACGGACGGGCGGGCGGGCGGCACTGTGAGCAAGGTTTTGGGGCGTGTTAGGAAGGCAAGAATGTCACAAACATGAGCAGTGCTCCGCAAAGTTACCCATTCAAGAAATAAAATCAAATAGAGACTGTAGGGTTAAACCGATAGAACAGTTTGTCACCAATTTGTGTGCCAAGACTGGCTCAAATCCAGCTCCTTACTCAACAGCTTCAGGGGCAGCAATCTGTAAAACCTTTGATGAAAATCATCAATCTGGGTTTCGCTAGAAGCGTTCAGGTTCTGAGGTCAGAAAACCTTTTTCTGAGAGGTCGTTCCACCTTAAGAAAACCAGCTTTGTGTTGATTTACATGATGAGCCCACAGTGTTAAACACAGATCAAACCTTCAGCCTGGAGTACCTTGTGCTGAAACATCTCAACCAAAGTTCAAAAAGCAAACTTTTACTTTCAGAACAAATTGGTCCTTGATCCGTTCTTAGATTGCTCCAAGAATGAAGGTTTGACAGCTTAAATTACGGCGCAAAGTGCAAGTTTATATTATGTGACAGCGACTTTTAAGAAGACGTCTAAGTGTGTTTGCTCGAGCACTTTGGCACAGCGAAGCAATAAGAAACAGGGCTCAGTGCATCACCTTGATTCGCTTGTATATATGAAAACTGGATGGAGGAAGAACAGATGGGAGCAGGTGCAGACTGAAAATTCTATATTACCATATCTGAGGTAAGAACTAAGAGAGCTTCATGTTACATTTAACAGCAGAAACCAAAGCTCCAAGAGGATAGCACCCTGCACTAACTTTAACCTCTTCACATTCTATCTTCATTTTGTTGTTGTTTTTTCACATAAAAGAAGATTCAAAGCGTGGAAACATGTTGTTACAGTAAAAACAGCCCGCAGCCCAAAGTGATTCAACAACTACAGACAACACAAAAGGTAGGAAAGGACAGTTTTGTGTATTACAAAGTGTTGCTGCCGCCGCTGCTTTTGTCGCTGTCGTATTTGTATCTTAGAACGTTTTTCTCTCTTTGTGAGGCTTTGTGCTCTCAGATAATGTAGGATTTGATTCAGTGTCATTCAGGATACTGGAGCAGAATATTTTTGGGGATCGGTGAGTCTTAAAGGACCAGTGTGTTAGCTTCTGTCTACTTCTATTAAATCTAGCTTACATTTGTTTACAGCGTGTCTCGACTTCATACTAATCATCCTAAACTAATGGTAGCAGGTTGCAGATTGGAGGTAAATATTGCACTTTAATGTTCTCTGCTAAACATATTTCAAAGCATGGCTTATTGGGTATTTTGCAGATTTTGTTTATTTATATAAAACATAAATTAACCAATTTGATTTTGAAATTCTGCACAGACTTTTAAGTATGTTTTTATCCTGATGGTTTTGTACTTTTCGTTTGGCTTTTGAACGCAGGATTGTACTTGTGTTGCTACTTTAATTTACGTAAATAATCTAAATACTATGCACTTTTATTTACTTTTACTGCAGAAAGGTTTTCCTTTTACATACAACTTATGTAAAAGACAGTTATATTTGGATTATGTATTACA